GCCTAGATACTTCGAATCTTACGTGGGAGAAAACCCGAACAACCAAAGATCCACATACAAATACCCGCGAGAACCTCAGAAAACAAATATATATATATATATATATATATATATTACAAAAACTTGCTCTGTAGAAATCTGTACAGAAGAGTGTTCATGGTTTTCTCTATAGAAATCCTGGTACCATCCAAGATACTGAGACTGCTGAATCTGTTTGGAAACTGGAGCAAGGCTGACCGGGGAACCAACTAGTTATTAAGATGGCTTTGTGGCTGCGGCCCCAATTGTTAGCAGTATTTTCTCTTATTGGTCCCCAATATTGCCTCCTCTGCCTCCTGCTGCTATTATTTTTTTATGAAGAAACAGTTTGTAGGCCAGTAGGTTGTTGGCGCTGTGCCGCTCTCTCTTTTCTGGAACTGTTGTGCAATCCATAATCATCAGACCTGTTTTGACTGCCTGGCTTGATAAATATTCAGTGTTTACTGACCTATATTCCTGCTGCCTGTGCCTGGTGCGTGTAGATCACATGTGAAGAAAAGAAAGGGGGGGTTTTGCCATCATCGTGGGGGAGCGTGCGTGCCACTTGGTACACATGGCCTTGCCTTCTCGGGAAGGAGAGCTTCAGCATTCCTATCTATGTGTCATGGTGAATGTGGAAGGAAGGTTGGGGTGGCGCTCTTTGTGCAACCTGTCTGGCTCGCTGGCCTACCCCTCAGCAGTCAAAAGGGGGCTGGAAGATTCCCTGCCTTGGATCTCTCGACTTCAAGGTTAAAAATCCCCATCCTGATCCACTTCTTGTAATCTCCTTTACTCTCCCTCCCTCCCTTTCTCCCCTTGTTATGAGAAATGGGAGGGGGTGTTGTCTGTGTGTGCATGCTGGTTGGGCCTCTGTGTGTGTGAGTTGGTGTGTGTGAGATGGGGAGAGTACATTTGTGAATGAAATGGAAGTAAGTGGCCCATTTTGGGTGTATCAGAGTGGCAATTGTCCCTACAGGCATGTTGTATGCAGACGTTCTCTGAGGGAAAGAGGGGAATCGGATCTTAATGTAATGAAGCCATCATCTGTGAAAAGGTCAAATGGGACTCCTTTGTCCTTCTTAGGGTATGTCAATTAGAAAAGTAGTTTTTCTCTTGTACGTTTGGCAGAGATTGCAATGTGGGTGCAGCATCTCTGGGGAGTGGCATGCTTTGGGTCTGGGGCAGGGACAAGGTGGAGCATATATTTTGATTGCCAAGTAGAAATTACATCTGAATGTAGTTCTGCTGGGCGGGGGGGCAGGGTTCCCCCCCCCCAGTAGAGGCAACCTCACATTTGTTTCTGAGGGGAGCTGGAATGTGGGGTGTGGCCCATGCAAACCAAGGGCCATGGTGATGCTGTCTGAACCTGCTGGATTATGTAAACAGAGCCTGAGGTGTGTGACAGCACTAGGCAGAAATGTAACACCCTCTTTTTGTATCCTTCCTCCCTAGGCGTTTCTGCTGCCTTCTGGGCCTGACCCAGCAGTTGCTGTTGCTTCTCTACCCTTCCCACTGTGCCTCTGTTGTCCAGCCACATCCTGGCTCCTGTTGGCTGTAGCATTTTGGCAGCAGTCACTCTGGCAGCATTACTGACCTGAAGACTGAGGACAGTAAAACTCTCCCAAGGAATCTGGAGACAGTCCCTTTTCAGCAGGGATTTGGAAGATGGTCTCCTCGTATCGGACAATTCATTTTCCATTTATGGGAGCCCCGATCCCATCTGACTGTAGCAACTGGAGGACAGCTCAAGGCCATATTGGATACAGCTTCCCAGGCAATACAGCTTGGTAACAGTTTGGGGTGCACAGCTGGGAAGGAGTATCCTGTGGAACAGCAGGAGCAGCCGCCGCCGCCACAGTTCTGAGGAAAGGAAATACTCCAGCAAGAGACAAAGTGCATCTGGACATTTTGACCCCTACTTCCCTCCCTTCCTCCACCCCCGTGATGGAGAGTCTCGACTCCCCCACGTTATGTGTGGCTCGGAACTTTCCCGAGTTCCATCCCAACGGCATTATTCAGCGAGCGCGAACCCTGAAGAGCAAGCCGAATGTCAACTGTAGGCGAAAGAGAGAGTTCATCTCTGACGAGAAGAAGGATGCTAGCTACTGGGAGAAGCGTCGGAAGAACAATGAGGCTGCTAAGCGTTCCCGGGAGAAACGGCGTTTCAACGACCTGGTTCTGGAGAATAAGGTGCTGGCACTCAACGAGGAGAACGTGCGGCTGAAAACAGAGCTCCTGCAGCTGAAGCTGCGCTTCGGCCTCATCAGCACGACAGCCTTCATGGAAAAGAGCCAGCAGCTGAGCACTGCCAGTGCCAACGCCCAAGCACACTTATACGGTGTCGGCAACAGCAGTTTGTATCCCGGTTCCCTGTCCCGAACCCCCCACTCAGAGGATTCGTCTGAAACGGAGCAGTCAAGCCGGGACAGTGTAAGTGTATCGGTAGCCAAGTATTCTCCCCGGGACTCTCTCTCTGACCTGTCTGATGGCTCATCTCGCGACAGCCCTCTCCCCCAGATGCTGGAGGAAGCCCAGGCCATCCACCGTGTCTATGGGGATGCCCCCTTGCAGCCTTACCCAGAGCCCAAGGGCTCGGTTCCCCGCAGTGTGATCCTTTTCAGTGCCAATGGCTTTACCGCAGTGGTCCCTCCACAACCCTTGCTTCCTGAAGAAGCGGAGCAGGCCGAAGGCTGTGGGAGTCAGAGTCCCAAAAGCCACTGTGGGGGGCCTGATCCTCGCTGCCCCCAGGGGGAGCTCCAGACGCACTCAGGGTATTGCTCAAAACCCCAGGGCTCTAGTGCTCCTGACGGCTATTTGGAGGGGGAGCACATCAAGAAAATTGAAGAGCCTAGGTCCCCCTTTGAGGGTTACACCAGTGAAGAAAGTGAAGAACCCCCTTGGGGATATTCCTCTGCTGCCTTCCCCGTGCCGCTGGACACCCACCCTGACGTGAAGACCGCAGCCCTCCCACACAAGCTTCGACTCAAATGCAGAGCACACAGCAGTGGGGTTCATGAACCGTTCCCCGGATCTAGCACTGCTCCAGTTGCCTGCTGCCAGGGAGCCTCGGCGGCCTCAGATTGGGACAGTGACCGACACGAGGAGATGTCAGCCCTGGTGCGGCAAGCCTTGTTTCTGAACGAGCCCCCCGCTTCCAGTGGCAACTTGGAAAGACTTTTGTGTCCTGGCTCAGGGCTTCCCTCGGATCACACCGTCCCAAAGGACCATGTCAGCAGGTGGGAGGAGGCTTGTCATGATGATGACCCCAGGCCAACTTGAAGGAGACCTAGGTCTGGATGAAGATTTGGGAAGTAAGGAGAAGAAATCGAACTGGTACAAGAAAGGGATTTTACATGGCCAAATGAGCATTGGAGAAGGGGGCCATGGATGACCTGGAACTGCTGACTTCAGAATCTGGGGGGAATAGGGACCATGAGATGGCAAAAGAGGATACATGGGTTGAGCATGAGGGATAGGGTGGGGGCTGCCTCGGAAAAAGACTTTGGAATTACTAAGGTATAGTGGGGGTTGGAAGTCCTGTTTTCTAAGGCTCCAGAATTCAGTGTGTAGATGAGACGTGTTTTGCTGGGCAAATGCCTAATGGTTTTCTAACTTGATAACAATTCTGGCATTGTGATTGACAGGCGAGTACCTAAAAGTTGGCATCTAATCCGTTCTGCACTGATGTTAAAGTTCTTGGATACCCACAATAAGGATGCCTAAATGGATTGTGAGGGACTGTATTTTCTCTGTCAGAAATTGCTTGGCCAAACCAAGTGTTGTGTGTTTTTAATTACTAAAATAAACCTACAGAAAAATGTTAAGTTGTTGACTGACTTGGGAGCAGAGAAAGATTGACACAGAACACAGAGGTGGGTACCTCACTCTTTTGCACTTTTCCTTTCCATCCAAGAGCTTCACAAGGAGAAATAAAACCACGTAACGTATACTGCCGTAAAAATGGCCAATGAATTAATAAAATAACAATTATTTGGAATGGAGTTCCATGTTCCATGTAAAATCAGGATCAGGCCACAAATTATTCTTCATAAATGAATGACAATCTTAACTTGGATTTGAAACCAGCAAAGAAGGGTCTAGCAATGTGCTGTTTTCACTGAGCTTCTGGAAACATTTGGTTTCACCTCAACCAGAAAGTGGCATCTGAAGAGGTCAGGGTACAAGGAATTTACCCTCTCAGATTATGTAGAGTTAAGAAGGTCAAGTTTTAGTAACAAATTGATAGCTAATGTAATTCTTTCAATACCAGGGTAATGTGTTTCTTGCATCTTGTGCCAGTAAATAGCAATAGCATTTGTTTATTTGAGTTCCAAGTCTTCCTTCTAGTTGCAAGCACAGTTGACTTATAGTTTTAATCATTTTCTTACCATTGGGGGGAAAACATCTTTCTCCCCATGTGGATGTGAAATATTTAAGTCTACAAGCAATGTTTGTAGGTAGATGAGGGGTTAGATGAAGAGTAGAGCTATTCATAATTTATTTTCTTAGCAGAAATGTCTTAATTTTAGAAAAAGGATTCTTGTAATATTTAGTACAGTAAACCCTTGATTTAATGGACGTTTGCTTAGTGGCTGTTGGACTTAACGTAATTGGCAAAAATCTGCTGGATCCAGGCACTGAGCGATGTCTTAAAATACCGACGAGGTCTGTTTTTGGCAGATGATATTCGTCCAAAAAATGGGTATTATTGTTGTCAGTAAAGGAGGCTTTTACAAGTACAAGTGTGTTTTGGGGTTCCGAAAAGCCTCTTACTTATTTAAAAGTTTTTTAAAAAATGTCTGATGCATTTATCAAACATTCAGCTTTGACACCTTTTAATCTTGCTAAGGATTTACTAGGTGGTGGTGGTGGTGATTATTTGCAAGAGGTGAAGGGTCTGAGGCGTTGTGATTTAGTTCTGGAAAGCCAACTGTTTTTGTATTAATTCTATTCTAATGAGACAGGACAAAGACTATCCCTGAACTAAAATACCTGATTTCTTCATCCTATGTACTGCTAGTTGCTTTGGTCATGGCAGGTTTGAGGGAGAGATGGAGAGATGATAGAGAGATGCTCTATTTTGAATCCTTGCCCATCACCTGGTTTTCTGAATCACTGATTAGGGCTATTAGCCTCTTTTCCAAAGCTGACTTTCTCATTTGGTTGAATCTGTGGGTGAGGGTAGGATTATCTATGCTTACCTGGGGGGGGGTGGGGGGGAGGGAGAAAAACCGTGTCATCAAAAGTAGGTCACTACCACCAACCCCCACCTGCGCACGCACACAAGCAGCACACAAGCATGCAGCTCGAGGCTGGCTGAGAGCCAGTGTTGTATCAGGAAGCCAGCCCCTCCACAAAGCCTAGCCTGTGTTACCATAGTAACAATAGCAGCTGAAAAGAGAGCAGAGAATGGGTGAACCAGGAGGGAGTGTGGCCAGCCCCAGGGTTTTTTTTTTTATATTGCTCTGCACCAACTACTAAGGGAACTTGCTGCTTTGACCGTATCCAAGGGCGCTGCAAGAATTGCATTCTCCTCAAAAGAGGAAGATGCAATGGAAGTCAAGCAGAGGCGCCAACTTGTCTCTTTAATAATAATAATACTAATACTAATGATGCTCTGGCATAAACCAGTGCCTGTGGTTCCAGTGGTACTCGGCACACTGGGGGCTGTGCCTAAAGACCTAGACATGCACTTAAAAACAATTGGCGCTGACAAAATCACCATTGGTCAGCTGCAGAAGGCCACCTTACTGGGATCTGCTCACATAATCCACTGATATATCACACAGTCCTAAACACTTGGGAAGTGTTTGACTAGTGATTTGTGATACGAAACCCAGCATAGTTATCTCGTTTGCTGTGTACACTGTCATTTTTTGTGAATAATAATAATAATAATAATAATAATAATAATAATAATAATCAGCCTATTACACAGACCTTTGGCAGATGGCTATGTTCCTCTTGCAAGGATGAAAGAGTAGAGCCACTAATGGTTGGACTAGCAGTAGAAGACAATGCAAGTCTTGAAGACCATGCAAAAGTTACACCACTCTTGAATGCTGTGGTGCATGCAGTGTTGGATGCTCTTCGGTTTGCCCATATTATGTTGTGACAGTACAAGTTGTATTGGCTCCCATTTTCTAGATGCATTTCAAGGTGCTGGTTATCACCTTGAAGCCTTACATGCACGAGGCAAGGTTATTTGCATTGGGAGGTCACACTCCAGGCCCTTTCCTGCCTTTTTTTAAATAGCAGTCCCAACTCCATGGAGCATTCATCCCCTGCATTTGGCAGGCTCCACCCTTTTATTTTGGCTCTTTCCCCAGCACTGGGGTGGAATGAGATTGGAGCCTGGAAATGGTTGCTGGATACATTAGAGAACAATGGCTGAGGCACCAAGTTTTGATTTTATGGTATTTATTGTTGTTGTGAAATGCCAAGAGTTGTGTTTCTTGAGATCATATACATCTTTTAATTTAAAAAAATCATCTACACAACTTGTAAAGCTATAAAATGTTCAAGAGTGGAATGAAATGCAAAAAACAAATTCAGACAACCCTTCAACAAATGGGGCATAAAAGAAAACGTAACCTCCTCAACCTTTTGTAGCTGAAATCCTGAATTTATTAACAGTGGCAGTATATAGAACACACCCATTGTTAGCTGTAGCATTGGCAGTAATCTTCATCCATCTTGGAAGCATTAAAGTGATTTAATAACCATGTTCAAACATACAGCCAAATAGAAATGAATTGCCCTAAAACAGCATTATCTAGCAAGATGCTTTTCAACTTTTCAACTTCTATAATTCCTAGACAGGATGGATAAGGCTGGTTTAGGTTGCCAATGATTGCAATAAAATAATGCCATATAAAAGTTATGAATGTCAAAGAACAGTCTAACAAACTAATCTTAACGAACGATACAAGCTGGAAGGATAATTTACTGTAATAGGACCTGAAGACAGCTTCCCTTGGTACTTCTACCAGTTTAAATTTAGAAGCTACTTAAAGGTTCCTTTTCTTGATTAAATAAATATATCAAGCATTATTCTCTTAGATTTCCATTTAACATGATTATGGTCATATCACCTCTTTCAGTTACAGTACTTCTTATCTTTGAAATGATGGTATCCTTTTTGTTCCTTCTCATTGGCTTGATGGACTGATCCATCTTGGTCTTCTCTAATACGTTCATTAAAAAATTATGATGGTCTAATTCTAAAGGTAGGCCTGCAGTTCAGAATGAGACAGTGCAACTTGTAATAACACATTCTTCAGTTCACAGATAGTTCCAAAGTTTTCTTAATGACAATTGTCTTAGATGGCATTGAAGATTACCTTTAGATAGTTCAGTACATATAGACCCATCAGATGCTCCTAACTCTAGTTGGAATAATTTATCTATATAGTGTTAGCTCTTTTTATTTATTTAGTGTATCGCATATCATACTTGGACTAGTGGTAGCTTTTAATAACTGCCTATTAATATCAGCTGTGAATGGCGTAGAGCTGTTGTACTGCGCCCTGTTGATGAACCTCCAAAGGGCACATAGAAATGCTAAATTGGATGAGAGGAATCCACTCTGTTAGCCCTTGTGGCATATCACTGGAGCTTGTTATAATGCAGGGAGAGTTTGGCATCATGCACCCCAGTCAAGAAACTTTATATGCAAGCTCCACTCACCAACCCATTTTCTCGCAGTGGCAATCTAGCAGTGTGAACAGGCCCATGAGCTGATTGTGGGGCAAGAAAAAAAAATGAATAAGTGATAAACTATTGCTTCAAAGCAGGGGAGGGATCCACAGCTCTGTTAGTCCTGAAACTTTGAAAACTCAGGAAAGTGGAGACAAAACAGTTCTACCATTTCATGGGGATGTGCTGTTTTGAAGGTAAAGGCTTTGTGATTACTGAGATAGTTTTTAATTGTTCCAGTGGATCTTTGCCCTTGCGATAAGCATGTTGGTAAACTGGGCCAGGAGGCATTAGCTGCCAGAATCTCCTTCAACCAAGAGAAAACAAAATGCAGTAACTAGATGAGATCATCAGCATTGATGTTTGAGATCAGGTGACCGCCTGGTCACCTTTTCTCCTGCAAAGCCATGGCCTTCCAGACATTGCTGAGTCACTATAGAAGTCAGGTAGGTGGTGACAGGACAATCTCCACAGGCTTGTAAATGGGTGTCTCAAGAAAGACAGCTTTAAATGGGTGGCTTGTAAATGGGTGGCTTGTAAATGGGTGTCTCAAGAAAGGCAGCTGCACCGCCTCACCACTGATGAACTTGGGCTTAACCAGCACCTCTTTGGAAATTATTAGGTGTTACCTCATTCTACGTAGGCATTCATGCTCTGCAAGAGACTGAGTGCTGCGGCTTAAGAGTTTGTGGAATTAAGAACGGGCCTAAGCCAAAGGCAGACAATTCACAACCCCAGGGGTCAGAACTGTCCCTCTTCCTAATATCAAAATACCTTTGTGGTAAATTCAGATTTCTAGCAAAAGTGATGGCCCCTGAGGACGGGAAAAAAAAAAGAGGATGCAGGACAAATACATGGGAGAGAGAAAAAAATGAGATATTTTTTTTTGCTGTACTCAACTTTAGGATGTCATATACTCCCCCCAAATTTCTCTGATGAGCTTCTGACATCTTGGTAGGTCAAGCTCAAATTTAATATTATAATACTATAATATTATAAATATAAAATTATGTTGATAGTTTATCTTGCTGGAATGTAATATGTGTACCACCACTTCCAGCAATAGTTTGTCACTTTCCTGAAAAAGCTGGCCTGTTATCATTTCAGATTGATC